CAAATGACAAAGATCAACAGAGTGTGGAAGTTGAAGGGATGTAAATAAACCGATTAAAAGGTACATTGATAAGCATGTAAGGTTGGTCCAGAATGTGAACATCAGGAGAAAGGAGGAGTCAATGGCTGAGGAAAGCATAGGGTAGTGAAGAAAACCTCTGGGAGAATCAAAATCTTTTTCATCCTTCCTGTGTTTCTCCGCAGTGCTACCATGCACCCTGCACCCTGGGTGGGAGCAATTCTCCCAGAGGACGGAGGCAACTTGATTGTGAGTTTCCTATTTTACACGTAGGGCTTGCTTTACTTGCTGAAGTCTGGGGAGGTCTTTCTCCTGGTGTAAGTACAATGATGGAGGAAGATGTAGCAGTGAGGCCTGACAGGCAGCTCAGCTCTTCCCTTGGGCAGCTGCAATTCTGTTCTGCAGGTGGCACCAGGAACCCAGATCTGGGGAACCTTTTCCATTTGCCTTTTTCCTTCTCTTTCCCTGTCTTCCCCCTCCTATCTCTCTTCTCCCAAAGGGGTGAACTGTGGGATTAAAGTCTAGGTATGGTCTCTCTGTTAATTTTCCAGTTCTTGCATTTCTTATTCCAGCTGTGAGAGGGAAGCAGAAAACTTTAATTTGTGAGCCATGGTCATTGTGCTGTTTCCCATCTTACCCACTAAGTTGATGCCTACAGCTTCCCAAATGTTGGAAAAGCAATTAGCCAAGCTACTCTCAATACCAGGACAGAATTCTGTGTGTAGAGTACCAGGTCTAACAGTTACTCTCCAATTAAATAAAAGGAAACCTTCGTTGTTATACATATTGTAAAGAAGATGGAACTGGAACGAATGGGTCCCCTTTATTGTAATTGCTTGGTACATTGAACATAACTCTGTGTTGGGTCAACAGCAAAGATAAAAGACCATGAATCCTCTTATTATTCCCTGGCCACCTCATAAAATGGCACTATCCAGCAAAATATTATTTAGTAGCAAAATATATTTTAATTGAAAAATCATTTTTATGTAACTGAATAAAAATGTGTACCAGGAACTTTCTCAACAGACAGCAGAGTATGTACATTTTGTGAGGGTGGAGCAGCATCTATTTAATATAATTCTTATATAGAAAATACAGGCAAATTTAAAAATGGAAACACGTAAGAAAGCATGTCACAAGGAATAATAAAATATATCACAAAATAACAAAAGTAAACCCAAAATAACAAGTTTACTAAACAAAACAAGACCCAGCACCATGTTGGACCTTCTTTGCATAAGTTCCAGGATGCCCAGGTGCTACCAAGAAGAGATGATCCTGCTTTTAGGAGAGCCATTTGGCTCTGTGGTGGTTAAAACCCAGTCCTCCTTTTCCTGGAAAAAAACAAACAGATTGAAAAGACTGAATAGAAGAGGTAACAGTTCTTTGGGGGCTGATTAAAACAGGATTGAAAGTCTCAGACCCCTGGACATTATGTGATGCTGTTTATAGGGATGGGTGTCATTCCTTGAGAGAACAAAGTGACATAGAAAATAGGTGCTAACTTATGAAAAGATCTGAAAAGCAGCAAATCTGAGCTTTTGTCCTGATTCTGTCACTAGTTTCCTGTCTGACAATCCTCTCATCTGTAAAACAAGAGGTTTAGACCTCATGAATCTAAAGGGCTCTTCGGGCACTAACGATCTGTGTTTTTTAGTTATGGCATTTGTTTGGGATCA